TTTATTTCAACAAAGTAACTGTATTCTGAATACCACCTTTTTAAACGGTAACTGTAACGGAATACAGTTACTCATATTTTGTATTCTAAATACGTAACGGCGGTACATGTATTCCGTTACTCCCCAACACTGCCTTAAGGTAATACAAGATATTAGCAGGACTCAATAGACGACTGAAGCCCAATGAAGATCACACAACTTTTCCTTCTTACATTTTATTATCATTAACATGGAAAATCATCAAAACTAGAGAGATCCAAAGACATGAAGTTAAAAAAAGATGACAGATGAAACCTTTTTGTACCTTTTAATGTATTAAAGCTGTCTTGACATTTCGTGGCTTAATCTAAATGCTCAGACACACTAGAGAGAAAAACAGGATTTAAAACCTTGTGATTAGGAAAGGAAAAAAAAAAAGAAAATCAGTGATTGCAGTGAAATTATTTTCTGTCCATTGCTTCCTCCAAGGTCTGGTTGCTCAGAGGTTTAGTGTTCAAAACTCTCAACCTCTGGGCAACTGCTTTCAATCACATGGTGACTGCACCAGTCTGACTATACATGTTGACCAAGTTTCCCAAATATAGCAGTCCAGTTGATTAAAGCAGACAGCATATTACCATCAATCTCAGGCCGTCTGTGCTGATCCATGCAACTCGTCTGCACGTGTCTCAAGATGCTCAAGGTTCCTGAGCATCTATGTTATTTTGCCATAAGGCAGCAAGTACATCAGTATTTGTGGAGCCTCTAGCTGGAGTCTGAATCGAACTAGTTATGCATGTAGACAGCAACAAACAGCACTTTTACTTATTTAGTTCATAGGCCCATTCAATCACAAACTCTGAGGCAATAGGACTGAGCAGGCTGACTCAGGCTTATTGCCATTTTATCAGCACAACAAAGTCATTGTGAAGATGGCAGCTCTGGTCCCCGTCTTCAAAGAAACCACTTCAAAGGCAGATTGCAGGTCTAGTGCACAGAGTTGCAGTAATTTGGTCATGCCATGTTCTCCAACCTCTCTGTTCCCTAGTGACTGTATCATGACAGAAAGGCTTGGAACATTTTAGACATGTTCAAGAGGAAGAAAAAAATTCCAGGTAAATTCAGTAAAAGCAGCAACTCAACAACAAAACGAGTGTTGATTTATTATTAAGAACAAATGTAAAAATGATGTAAACATGCACTGAAATAGGAACAGTGATGGTGAAAATGGTATTAGCCTTAGTGTTGAATTAAGGACGTATATACATCCCAGTAGTGTTAAAACCAACAGAATGTCATATTGCTGCCATCAGGGGGTAGAAAAAAGAAACTTAAATCTTAAAGCTAAGCGGCTTTTGTTTGACATTTTTAAATAAATGCTGTTTGAGACACAATTTTTACAGAACTTAGTTTAGAATTTTTAAGTTTTGGTGCAATGATTCACACTATTTCTCCACCCATTTTTCTTTCCTTTAACTTGTAAGGTTCTAAATGGCAGAAGATTGCATCCTTTGCAGATACATCTATCCAGCAAGCTCAGCCTTTGGACAATATTTAGGTTAAAGCTATCAGTTCCAATCGATATGGGTCTTCGATTGATCAGGGCCAAACTGTGATGGCTAGACAACTGAGCTCTTCGGGGTGTTCCTGGTCTGCAGTGGTAAGTATATATCAAAAATGGTCCAGGAAAGGAAATGGTGAATCAGTGAAAGGGTCACGTGTGAGGAGGGAAGGCTGGCCCATGTGGTCTGAACCCAAAGACAAGTTACTGTAGCTCAAATTGCCGAAAACGTGAATTCTGGTTCTGATAGAAAGGTGTCAGAATTCACAGAGCATTGCAGTTTGTTGCGTGTGGCAGTGCATAGCCGCAGACCAGTAGTGTCCATGTCCACTACTGAAAATAACACAATGGGCATGTGAGCAGAACTTGAACACAGAGCAATGGAAGATGGTGGCCTGATCTGATGAATCATGTTTTCTTTTACATCACGTGGATGACCGGATGCCTGTGTGTCACTTATCAGGGGAACACCTGGCACCAGCAGGTGCTATGGGAAGAAGGTGAGCTGACAGAAGCAGTGTGATGCTTTGGGCAATGTTCTGCTGGGAAACCTTGGGTGCTCCCATCCATGTGGATGTTACTTTGCTTAGGTGGGTGGTATGTGTCAATGTTGCAGACTATGTAACCCCCCAAAATGTTTCAGGAACTGTTTAAGAAGCACAACAGTTGGTTTAAGGTGTTGACTTGGCCTCTAAATTCCCCAGATCTCAATCCAAACTTCCCATCTGTGTGATGTGCTGGACAAACAAGTCCGAAGTCATAATGTTATGCCTAACCTTTATATGTCATACATATGTCCACAGGGTGCTGCAAAAGAAAATCTCTCAGCTCTAAAAAGCAAATGCAAATGTTCTTAATAATTTCACGCTTTCACCCTATCCCAAACGGACAGTCGTCTGCCGAATGAAACATCTGCTACAAACAGCCACATCTCACAAAAGAAAACTTGGCTGACAGTCGGGTTCCACTGCTGACAGATGCTGCTGTGCAAGAAGGGAGTGGGTGGACTGAAAAAGAGCCACAGAGCTTAACTCGTTGTCAGTAAAAATCAGTGACAGCATAAAAAAATTGTAGAATTTGCAGGAATCACCGAATCCAATTGTGACGAGATGTATTTGAAACACAGACACCCTGCTCTTTGTATCACTTCAAAATAAAAATGCCACATTGGAGAAAGTACAAAATCTCTACTTTTTAAAAATTGCAATAATATTATGTTAATGAATGCGAGTCCATTCATATTTGTGCAGGATTGGATAGCTTTATTAAATTTATGCATGAGTAAATACTAGCCTGTGCTCATGCCTGCGGGTTATCAGCTTTGGTAGAAAACTGAGCAGCACACAGATCAACACAGACATTGTGCAGACTGTGACTAAACTCTAATCTACAAACAACAGACAGCAAACAAACAGCAATTCTACTTGACCCGGAACACTTCAAAGCAGCTAAACAACAACAAGCTAAAAATGACATGAGGAACACTCACTGCCTAGTGCAACACCAGCTTTTCTTTCCTTTCTCTTTGTAGCTTAGCTTCATAGTCCTTGCTTTTATCATGGATGTAGCCTTTGGCCTACAAATCCAGGCAGACATGTGACTCTTATAGGTGCAGCTGGGCCGAATACTAATGCATCATTTATCAGTGCTGTACTTTAGGGTTTTTTTTTTCTTAATATCAGCACACTTTTCCTAGTCCTGGGATGCTTTGTACTGGTATATCTTGATGCAATGATGCATGCTATCTGACACTGCAAGTTGGCCATCAGGTAGCAAGGATAGGCCACGTGGACTACTCAAACCCTGGTTTATTATGGGCCAACCTACTCCCTGTGCTGGGTATAAAAGGATTCTGTGCTGCTCCCCCCAATCTGCTACCAAAACATTACCATCTGGATCTATACAGATACCCCAGGGACAGGTCAGGACAGGTCCCATTCCTGCACATACACCAAAAACTCTAACTGTGTTCCAGCCTGGCTCCAGAACTTTGACGCAAGGTACACGACCAGTTTCATTGCCCCTCTCGGATACAGCCACCATGCCTGAGCTTAAGCAAGCTGCCACTAAGTAGGGTCGGTGGAATCCAGTTACCACTGTGCGTTCAAGACGGGAGCCTGTCTTAGGGTCAAGCTTTAGGGCAATGAGGGTACCTTTTCGAATATCAGCTACCAGGAATTCATCGAGCCTGGTTACAGTCACACCCCTGGGAGCTTCCAGTTCATCTTTTGCAGAGCTGAACCCAGACCCTCCAAAGGTCTGGAGCAGTCGGCCGTGCCTGCTGAACACAAGAAGAGCTCTTTCTGCTGCACAGCTTACTGCAATCAGACCCTTAGCATTGACCGCAATGTCAAAGTAGTTCCTGCACCGTCTGTCAGAGCCACCAGCAGTTGGAGAGGTCACTTGTTGGAGGACATTTCCACGAGCGTCAGTCACCTGTTTCAAAGTTGAAATTCAATTATAACCTCATTGACAGTTTCATTTCCCACACTGAAAACAATTTTCTGTACATGTTTGAGTTGTATAACACCTACCTGAATTCGTGCATTTCCACAGTCCACTATAAAGAGCTGACCCTGTGGTGTGGCATGGATACCACTTGGCAGGGTAAGATCAGCTCGACCTGAACCTTGCTTTCCAAATTGTCCAATGAGATGGACACCTTTGGGTTTAAATTCTGTGGAAGACAAGTCACACTCCTCCTCTAACTCCACCAGTGCTTGCTGCCTTCTTTGTCCTCTGCCCCACTTATTTGCCTCGAGTTCTGTTGTACAGGAACCATCTATAACAGACAGGGATAAAGACCTAGCCACAGGAGGTTGTGTTGATCCAGCAACTGTGGCCTGTTTCTGTGGCTGGTATAAAATATTTTGACCTCTATAGGAAGGCGACGAGAAAGTATGCCCCATGTCAGAGGCTTTCAATTTCCTTCTGAGAGTCGGCGAGGTTGAGGTGAAGCTCGTCTTGAAGTTGCTGCCCCTAATCCCCCACACTCCTTGCTCAATTGGCCCACTAGTAATCAATGGGCGCGTCTTGTGAGTCAAGTCCACTGCAGACTTTGATAAGCGGCAACTGTAATTCAAAGAGCCTCTGTTCATACTGTAGTCATGAGATGGGCTAACAATGAAAGTATAGCTAGAATCAAGGCTGTCTGTTGGGGATGGTGCTCGGCCAGAGTCACCGAGCGTCCCTAGAGAGTGTTCATCAGAAGACTGGCTGAGGCAAGAGGGGGGTCGACCCCTGGATGTGAGGTCTAGGCAGCTTTGGCTGGCTGAAGGTTCTCTTTGAGATGTTAGGGAACTGTTGCAGTATCTAAAAAGTCTATAATTGGAATCTTGACCTACTCTTCCCTTATCTCCATTTTGACCGTCTAAACTTAAGCACTGACTAAGCTTTATATGCTGCTGTTTTTGTTCAGGTAAAAGGTTTGGCTTCCTGCTGGAGGCCACAGTTAGCCATTTCCTCTTGTTCCTTGGTGAGTAAGGTTTCCCATTCTTGTTTATCTTGTCTTCGTCTTCCATGTCCAATTTTTTAAGAACTGTAGGTACAGCCAAAAATACGTCCTCACCTTGTGGCTGGAAGGAAACTGATTCTACCTCATCTTCCTGAGATGATTCCCAGTCAGCCTGTTCGCAGTGACATATCTTTGCAGAAGAGTGCTTTTTTTCCTCCTCTGATTCTAGGTCACCCCGGTTAGAAAGGCTGATCTTTCTAACAACCCTGCCGGTTGGTGAAATAAATCCCTGTCCTTGGGTGCTCTTCTCTTTTCCAGAACCTTGATAGTTTGTGTCTTCACAGAGCATCTCTTGTGAATGAAGAGCACATGGCTGTCCTTGTGGCCCACAACCTCCAGCATGCAGGCAAAGGCTTTGTTCTTGAACACGAATATCTCCAAAGTTGACAGCATTCGGTTGTGAGCTTGGTTTGAAGTTCACTTTCTTTAGAGAAACTGAGATTTCCCAAGGTTGTAGGAACTCTGAAATCTCCTTCAGCAGTGGGTTCTGGCTTGGCCCACTGTCCTTTACAACTGATTGACCCAATTCCTGAATCTGCTTTTTCAGTTCTGCCAGTTTACAAAGCCGCTGGTCCAACAGGGACTGGCTGACCCGGGCTGCTGCCACGTTCTCCCGCTGGATCTGGTCTAGACGCCGCTGAGTGTCCCGATGGTCCTGCTCCACCCTCTCCAGCAGGCGCTGCTCTTCTCTGCGTGCTCCCAGGATAGCTCGCTCTACACCACGCTTTACAGATTCAGTCTCAGTTTCATGATGCTCCTGCAGCCTGCGCAGCTCTACCTCTGCCTGGGCAAGGTCACACTGTGCCTGGGTTACCCAGCATGGAGGGTACTGATGCAGGAGAACAACAGAGGAAGGACCATCTGACTGGCAATCAGGGCTTGGACAGTGGCCTGGGATAGGAGAGGTGGGAGTGCTGCCCAAAGATGTTCCCAACATTATGGATTGATGGATTTGTACTTCTCCAGTATTTAGTTCCTTCAGAATGACAGAGAGATAAATACAGAAAAAAAAAAAAGATCAGCTTCACTCGGAGCACAACACCACTGTAAAGTTCTGGTGCATACATTTCCGAAGCATTTATCAAAACCAACCGATTTACTTCAGCATGACTTTAGGAGTGAGTCATAAGTTTTTGTACATACTTCAAAGTTTTCTTTTTAATGTTGGGATTTTATTTTGAACCTAAAATTAAGCGCTGGTCATCTACTGCATTGAGTTTATGCACAATTTTATACTCGTTTAAAAGTAGCTTAAAATATTAGTCCTGTGACCTAATAAATAATACCTGTAACAAGTATGATTGCAATCTAATAAACTGCCATGCTAAGAATAGCTAAGTATAATTTCAAATGAGATTTGAAACTCTTGTGTTTTAACTAGTTTTGTTGTATTGGAGCAGCAACATGCAGCATATTCAGTCATCCATCTGCACTAAAATTGGGATAATGGCATCCAGTTACAAAACACCTCACTCCCATGAAATTATCTGTCATTAGGCATGATTTCCGTAATGCGTAAGTGTATGACAGACAGAAATCATGAATCAGTCACACACCAATTTAGTCTGGCAGAGGTGACTTTCGCTCCGTGCATGCTTGCTTGTGAAGTGCTTCTGAGTAAACAGCTGCTTATGGAAAGGTGATACAGATATGAAGAGAGGCCATAAGAGAGCTGAGGCTGTGGGTAGAAAGAACTAGCTAAGGCAAGGAAGAAAAGTTTTGAGTTCAGTGTCGAGAAATCTATTAGCATTTCAAATAGCAGCAGACAGCCAGAAGCATCCAGAGTGAGGGCGAGAGTGGGAGGTAAGGAGACAGCCAGTGTGTCAACACAACAGTACTTCTCAACTCCCCAGTCCCTGCGAATTGATCTTGCTTTGATATTTTATTCATGAGCTGTACAAAGCGATGTAGAGAAGCAGCAGTGAAAGATGTCGATCCTCTGTGTGCTGTATTGTGATAACCACGGTGAGCCATCACAAAATCAACAGAAGCACTTATGCAGGGCAAACATAAAGAAATTTATATCCCACCTTTCTGTCAGATGTGGAAACAACAACAGTCACAATTCAACAAGTAGCTTCAACAAGATATTCTACTTCAAACTTTCTCCTCAAAAGTTTTTGAAGTGTACTTTTGACTTTAAGCTTATGAAGCATGAAATAGACAGTGACTGTTGTTTTTAGGCCTATTTGATGTTACAGTAAAAGTAAATTACTGTGCTATACTGTTCTGTTCAGTGAGATCATGTATATTATTGAAAATAAGGAAAAGAATTGAAAGTAGTTTATTGCATTACCCACAATATGTCAAATGTTCAATTATGATAATACTTCAGAAGTCACCTAAATTCGATTCAGTACAAAATAAATACAAAGTGTTTTTAGCTACAGCTAGGAAACTAGCTTTAGCTTGATACGAGCACCGTGATACCCTACTTAATGTGAGTTACGTGCAGTTTTATTTCAAACCTCACTCCATATCTCACTATGGGAAGTGCCTCTTGGTGAGAGCAATTGAGTACCGGGTAATATTTCCAGAGAACTACAGTTACTCTAACCAAATGCTTTATTTGGGGACAGGTAGTAGTTTAACATTGGTGGGAAAAATTAATTACCATAGCAAAGGTCATAGAAGTGAATGAAGCTCGTCTTTACTAGTTATGGGCAATCTAACGTCCTATAACTTCCTTTTACCTAAACTGAAGCCGAGCTCCCAAAAGTTGTACACAAATCATAAGTAAAGCAAGCTCTATGGTTATGCTTTTGTTTGGGTATGTAGAGAAAAGGATTTGGGGTATTCAACCAACACAGATCCATAAAAAACAGTCGAGAGAAATATATTTATTGCTGACTGCATTTATTTTACTTTTTGTATTAGCCTGTGGCATTTGTATCAGCTGTACGAATTAAGTATTTCAGTAACAAGTCTGCTATCTGCAATTTACATTTTTTTAATATTAGCAATTAAAAATAATGAAATCCACAGCACTTACAATTTGTTACTTTAATACTGCAAAACATTGTAAGCAGCAAAACGAATCACTGAACCCAAACTTTTACCTGGACATAGTCCTTCAAAAACAAGCGATGAATGTTTCCACCATCATTGCCAGTAACTTTATCTATGTTGGGGATAAGTGACAGGAGGAACTGTGGTAGTCCCATCTCTGGTAGGACTGGCACAAGTCGCCAAAGGTTGTGCTCACATTACCAAAGTAAATTATAGATGAGGGAGTCCAGTTGCTCATGTTTTGAATGTCAGGCCATGTAAGGAAAAGTCAATAGGAAACCTTGTAGTATTATTAAAATAACAAAAACATAAAAACAAAATTAAAAACTGAACTTTACATGTAATCAAAGGATTCATGATATGTCAAAAAAGTGAATAATGAAAATTAACACCAACACTTTCAAATAAAATAAACTAACAAAACATTGAAATTGTACTAGAAAATAGGTATATGAAATACATCTGTAGGGGAAGAAAACAAAAAACATCAAACCCTGCAATGTCTTACCTGTAGTCAGGTACCGGCTCTGCTCCACCGCTCCACTCTTCTCGACTACATCCCTGTACTCCTCATACAATCAGCCTCCAGCCCTCCCTCTGTGCCATTTTCCCTCTTGTTTGCTGTTGCTAGGACACAGCCAAGCCAACTCCAGTTCCCTCTTTGTGCAGACTTCAAATTGTGTGGATCCACATTTGACATTTGTCTTGGTGTTCAGACTGTGTACTTTATGCTTTACTTGAACCGAAGATGTGTGTTTTAGAAAATGCAGCGAGTCAGAGTAAATCTATTAACTCAAACCACACAGTACGTTGCTTCAGGGACCACCACATATTTATGTCATGTAGCTTTATGATGAAAACCCATGGAAGTTTTCAAGCTATCGTTAGAGATTTACTTAACTATCTACATGAAACATTGATTTCTAGGGTCAGTGAGTCCCCACCCCCCGAAACATGAGCCATTTATATTCTCTGTGGTGATTGGGGACAAATATTATTATTAGTTGATCAATCAAGTTCAAACACTGTGCTGTAATGTCTCCAAATGTCTTTTCTGACCAGTGGAAGAAGGCTAACCTAGCACAGGGACAACACAGTGAAACACATCTCTACATACACACCAGTTAACCCGACAGTCATGTCTTTGGACTGTGGGAGGAAGCCCGATTACCCGGAGTTGTCCACATGGGCAAAGGAAGAACATGACCAGGAGGTTCAAACCAGAAACCACCTTACTGTGAGGTAACAGTGTTACATACAGTTATTCAAGTTAATTCAAATTCAACTCACATTCCTGAAATTCACATTTTTACTTTAGTTATTCAAGAAATTCAGATATAAATTCTTCAAAGTTAGGGCTGCGTGGTACATTTATATAGTGACGACTGCAGAATGCTCATTTTGTCTGACCAGAAGGGCAAACCCAATATATCTAAATTTTACAAAGAGAGAAAAGCAAAACATCCTTAGATTAAAGCAGGAACACAGAATGCTTTTCTTCATTTCTATCCCATATTTTATACTTGTGTATTAAAAACATTATTGTTAGAAGTCTATCGCAAATCATTTATAATAACTCAACTAACAGAGCTCTAAACTCTACCAACAGAGCAAGTAAGACTTTGACACAGAGATATCCAATCTTAAAACATATAGTTAAAAAATAAACAGTATTTGTGCAGTGTGGAAATGCCTGCTAGTCATTAGGTGGCTTGGTCTCAATGTATCCCGACAGAATTTTAAGGAAATGCCAAATAGTTACTTACTTTAGCTAATTTTTAACTTGTGTGTAGTTTTTCCTCATGAAAAAATGAGTGTTGGTGTTACTGGTTACTGGAACATTGGATGAGCAAAAAAAGGACAATCAGAACCAATGTTCTAAGAACATTCACACAGATGAACAGGAAATGCAGTGAGTAAAATGGCCATTTTAGGCAAATAATTACTGTGAGTCAGCCTGAAAAACCAAAGTTTCCATCACATTTTTTGTTAAGCTGCGGGGGGCTTCTAGTAGCTGCCTCCTCCTTTCACCAAATTACAATACTGTGCAAAAGTCTTGAGTCACCCTTCAGTTCTTTATATTGTGCTTCCAAAGAAGTCAGCGTTTGTTGCAGTTTTTATGTTCACACCAAACTCGTACCTGACAATTTTCAGAGGAGCGCATTTTTTTTTCTTTGTGTTTGTTTTTTTATTATAAAGTCACTGACCTATGATTCATTCATGCTTAACTCAAGGGATGAACCACTGCTGTGTCTTCTCATAACAGACAATGAACCAATTTTAAAATTGTATCTTTAGGCAATTTTTTCCTGGCAGCTTGTCACAAAACATCATTTGTTCCCATTTTTACAAATAATAAAAAAATAAAAATGCCAGAAACACAGTTTGACAGCCATTAATTAGTATTTTGAATCAACATGGTCCTTTCCAAAGAGCTACTAGATAAAAAAATTGGGAAATCTTGCCATAGTGTGCAGTGTGTCCTTAAAAAAAAAAATGTAAGAAAACAGAGCATGTGGGGGTCAAAAGAAGACGTGTCAAGCCTGGAAACTATCTGCAGATGAACAGTAAATTGGGGGGCACATAAAAAAAATAAATGGTAAAAACCTAACATAAGGACCTAAGAGCTACATCTGGCCCTTCAGTTGATCCACTTACTAAGCATTCATCGGGTTTGGAGGAGCGATGAATCTCAGTGTCAAATCTTTCGTTTAAATTGTCATCAATATGTACAGAGGAGGTCAGGAGGTCGGCAGACAGTGAGTTTCTGCAGCTGTCTAAAACACACTGGAGGCTCAGTCATTGGTTTGGGGCTCCATCTGAGCCAGTGGTGTTGGAGATCTTGTCAGAATAGATGAATTATAAACACAGAACAGTACTGATTTTGATCCAATGTTAAGAGCTTTCCAAATAGCATCATTTTCAGCA